ATCAAGAGACAAATGGCCTCTTTTTACCAACCCCAGAAAAAGAGAATTCGAGAACCTGAGGTAATGGGGAGCTGACGTTGCACTGTGGTCTGTTTATCTTTCCACCGAAAGATACACACATAGTTATGTGAAGTATGATTGTCACATATTAATTACAAAGGTTTGATTTTATGTGAAAATTATATAACTCCAACAAAAGATCATTCAAACAACATTTGAATAGGGTTTCTAACCCCTTCCTCTTCTTACAACAATTTCTACAGTCAATGATATAGCCAGGACATGTGCTGACATCCTGATACAAGGGTGACTGTCCAACAGTAATAAAGAAAGAAATAGGTGCACACCAACACTGAGTGAGTGCATCCTTGAGAGGGTCCTTTATATTGTCTACATGGGAACAGATACAATTTCTTTGGGCAACTTGATCCAGTTTGGCTTTTCTACCAAAGCATGCTAAGCAGGTAGAATGTTATTGTGAGGAGAACAGAACCTGATGTTTTTTGAGCACTTTCTACATGCCAGGCACTGATCTAAGAGTTTCACACATTTAATGGTTACAGAAACCCTATGACAAGGTTGCAATAGTCAAAGGTTACAATTAATAAAATATTGGGACCCATTTTTAAAATGAGGAATCCGGGGTTCGGATAGGTTAAGCAACTTGTTCAATTAGTGAGGTGCAGAATCAGGATTCGAACCCAGGTGTGTGTGGCTCCTGAGTCTCCAATATTATGAACACAGTATGGGTGAGAACAGGACCATCTGCTACTCAGAACCATCCTGCCTGGCTATCGTGGACTTTCCTCACCCAGCAGTGTGGTATTCACGCCTGGACAAGCCCAAACTTAGCAACTCCTGGGCCAGGAGTCCAAATCACGTACCTGAGCAATGTCCACAACACAGAGCTCTCCAACTGCAAGTCTGTTTTCACTTGGTTGGCTATTGTTAGAGGTGAAGGTTTGTGCACAATTTACATATCATGTGTCTGTATTTGTATCACTTTTTAGGCAGAAGAAGATCAAGACAGCAGTGGACATTTCAGCCACATACCTCCCCTGGAAAACCCAGAACAGTTTGACATAATTACTGACACCGGTTTGCCGGTTCCAGGACAGCCTTGCCCTTCCTTCCCAAACTCTGATGCTTACAAAGCTACCTTTGACCTAGCCACTTTTCAAGGAGACAAAATGCCACCCTTTCAGAAATATCCAAACCCAAGAATCTATTTGTCTAGGCCACCTTGCAGCTATGAATTGGCAGGCCCTGGTTATACAAATTCGAGCCCATATTCCACCCTTTATAAAGATGCCACCAGTATCCCTAATGACACAGACTGGGTTCATCTGAATGCATTACAATATAATGTCAATTCATACAGCACCTATGAGAAAAGCTTTGATTTCACCAATAAACAAAATGGCTGGAAACCAGCTCTTGGAATACCTGGCCTTGGGGAGAGGACTGACCATGGACAGTTCCAGGCTGTGGCCAATCTCCCTTATTACAATCCAGAGCTTCCCTGCAGGTACCTC